CGCCAACACAACACTACCACTTCTCGTATTGTAAAACTCCCTGTAAATCGGAACCAGCTTCCTCGCAATCGACACTTTAATCTCCTCTCGTAACTTCGGATCCGGTACGACGCATGCACTCTGTTTACCGTACGTTCTTTCAAAGCTCTCGCTGAATATCTCAAACCGTTGCTTCACTTCCTCCGCGGACATCTCCACCGTACGATAATCAGCCAAAGTCGCTACGACCGGACCCCACGCGAGTCGCTTGTAGCTGTCTGAGAATTGCTTGATCTTCGCTAAATGCTTCTTGATCCACTCCTCTCCGAGAAGATGCTTCAAGTTTGAGAAATGAGCGCGTGAGACCACGTGGTGGAGATTGTTCGTTAGGAAGAGATACTGCACGGAGCAATCTTTGTAATGATTTGCTTTATGGTCGATTTTACAGAGGAGGACGAGGATAAGCCAAGCGAATCGAATCGCTAATTCCGACGACGGTGAGTCGTCAGAATCAGAGACGTTGAAGTAAGATTCCGGAAGTAACGATTTATCCGGCGGTGGAGATCCGGCGAGGATATCGACGAGTACGTTGCTGTAATCGGCGAGGAGGGAGAGATGGTTCGTGACCGAGATCGTTAAAGGATGTAATCCACCTCCAGGAACTACAACTTTCGACGAATCTTTCTGGATTCCGGATTCGAAATCGATAAGTAGCGATCGAATTGATTCGCTTAGAGAGACTAACGATTTAAGAGCTTGAGATCTTACGATCAAGCTCGAATCGAATGAGAAGATAGATTCCATCGCTTGCCAGTTGTCAGCGATGGAACTATACATATCAAGCAACCGGAAAATCTTCTCCTGCGGTGATTTCTTCTTACTAGTGATGATTTGAGGGAATCCGAAGAGAAGAATCGCTCCGTCTTTCGAGATTTCGCTGAAACAAGACTCTCGGATCGCGTCGGAAGATTCAAAGACATGATCACAAAGAATCTTCTCACCTTTGAATAAACTCTCCATTGAAACTTTCATTGCTTTTAACCAGCTTCTTATCTTCAATTCGATCTCTTCCCACGACATTTTCTTCGCTTTCGACGTACTGATTTTCTCGATTTCTAGACGATAAATCCCTTCGTCGATGATCGATTTTCGTATGCTTTTGTATATGCTTACACACTCTTTAGTGTAACCAGAAGTGATCATACACTCAGCGATTGATCTCAAATCAGTCATAGCATTTGTAGACACCTCTTCAACTTCGACGATCGAATCACCGGCGGTGTTTTGAGATTCGTCTTCGGTGAAATCGGAGTAGCTTGATCTGGCTGAGGTAAGTGAGGATCGAGTAGAGACTGATTCTGGATCTAGAGAAGCACGATTCATCGATAGAATCTGGTAAAACTCTTTTTGTAACCTTTTCATAGCGATTTGCATCAGTTTCTGAGCTCTCATGAGTCTCTCTGAGTTTGGATCTTCGGTGACGAGTAGATCCATTGTTTTCTGAAGATCTTTGACTCGATCGATGAACACCATAGCTTCTGGTTTGTTCTCGTAGAACATAGAAGTGACTCTAGCGAAAGTTGATGTCTCCGTGTTCCATGTCTCGATTATATCAGCAGCTGATTCGATGACTCCGTATATAGCCGCCGATTCCAAACTCTGGCGTGGCGTTAAAGAAAGAGGTGGTTGGTGATTCAACGACGGTGTTGCGGCGACACAACAGATGTTTCTCATGGCTTTTCTCGTCATTAAGTCGTCGGAGGAAGAGAGTTTTCTGGAATTTTTTAGAAATGATAGATGCAAGTTGTGTGAGGGAAGAGTTATGTGGGGTTTAGGACTAAGTCGTTGTACTTATAGAAGAATAAAGCAGCGTTAAAACAACGTCGTTAGGAAATATGTGGAGAGGAAGGGACGATGAAAGTTGTTGTTGACTTTGCTGACTTTTGCCGATTTAATTTACTTTGTGGACCTACACGTGTATTGGGCTTTGCATGAATTTGTGTGTTTCTTACCATGAAAATATGACGTGAAATTTCTTTAGAATCATATTTTATAGCTTGACCCACGAA